GAAAATCACTAAATTCCAGGTTAATTGATTAAGATTAATAAAAAATATTGTTAAATCAAATAAATATAAAATTTTAATATTTAAAATTATAATTTAATTTTTGTCCTACAAATCACCCCCAGAAAAATTCCTAATTTTCCTTACTGTCCTCCATTTCTGAAAAAAACTGTTGGAAACCCTAACTGCATATACAACTCATTTGAAAACATTTATAATTGAATTCAGTATAGAAATTGTTTGCTAACTATTTACATCTACAAATAAATATATTAAAATGATGCTCAATTTGGTAGCAGCATTTTCATTATTGGCATTGCTTGGGTAATTTATATTTTATCAAGTTAATTCTAAGACAATTTAAATATATAATTTACAATATTCATTTAGTTCTACTAATGGCGATATACATGATTGCAAGTGTGCTATTTATTATGGTATCTCGCATAATTTAATTGCCGAATTTATTGTACTCAATTTTGACCAAGTTACCAAACTATGTGATGAAAATAGTGCTAATATTTGTAATGATGTTTGCAATAAAATGGTAATAACTTTAAATATATAATTTTATCATTATAAAGTATTAATTATATTTATACAGATCAGTAATGATGCCAATAAATTGGACTTGCTAAAACCAACACCCAGTGAACAAGCATGGAATCATACAGGCCAAATGTCACTTGGGCAATTTTTATGCCGAGAACTTATGCTCGATGTTAATGACCAAGATCTCGAATTTTACTCTCATTCACACTGTCATAATATGTCAAGTGATCCGACCAAGGATGTCATGATAACAAAATCAATTAAAAGCAATTTACTTATCCAGCAACAATTGACATGTTTGGACGATCAATTTATTCCACATACACCTACCACGGTTATGCCAACGTCATCAACATAAATACCAAGCACACCTAGAACGTGGGTAGTATTGGCGTCCGGCGCTAACACCTGGGATAGATATGCTGATCAGGTAAATGAGTTTTAAATCATTGTTAGATTATAATAATTAATATAGTATATTTATAAATTATGTAATAAATTATTTAAACTGTACTATAATTGATAGCAAAATAAATTTTAAAATTTGATAATTTAAAAACAATGCGTTTAATATCCATGTTTATCGCATTTATATTTATAATAAATATATTATAAAACTTTTTAAATGATCATTTTTATCTAGATAATAGATTACTGTACAATTTAAGACTAAATTAATTTATTTAAAATTTTATTTTAATCTAGGCAAATGTATACCACGCTTATCAAATGATACACGCTCACGGTATACCTGATGAGAATATCATAGTATTTCACTACGATGACCTGGCTGACAATCCTAGTAACCCTTACCCTGGTACGGTAATAAATCTACCTGGTGGACCCGACGTTTATAAGGGTGTACCCAAAACTTATACGAAAACTGATGTAACCCCAGAGGTGCGCAATACTAATTATAATATAATATATTATAATTAATATAATATAATATCTAATATAAAATATTAATTTACAAATTGATCTTGAACAGAATTTTTTGGCTGCCCTTAGAGGCGATGAGAAACTTGAAAAGTCTGGCAAAAAAGTTGTCAAGAGTGGACCCAACGATCGCATATTTGTTTTCTTAAATGGTGCTCATAGTGGTGAACGTATGTGTATTTATTTAATTACCTAGATATAAATTTTTATTTAATTTATTATACATATGGTTATAATTGTATAGAAACTGTAATGTTTCCAAACGGTGTACTGCACGCCCAGGACTTGAATAACGTATTGATTGATATGCATAAGCAAAATAGGTTCAAGGGAATGACCTTTTACCTCGATTCAAGTTATTCAGGTATGTAAACAGTGTCATCTAATTGACAATAAATATTACTGAACAGGATAATGTATTATATTTCAATTAAAATAATATTATCTACACATCATAGGCTCTATGTTTGACAAACTCCTACCTAATAATAGTAATATATACGCGGTAACAACTTCTCGACCTGACCAGTTAACTTATTTATGTTACAACGACTCTAAATGGGGAACTTATCTAGGTACAAATTGAATATTTGCAACCTAATAATATTTGTAATTTACAATATTTTTCGTTTTTATAGCCACTGAATTTGCTAATGCATGGCTTAATGATAGCGACCACAGCGATTTGAGCAAGGAACTTTTATCGGAACAATTTGAATTTATTCACAAGTACCAGGTTTATGAGGTGGCTATGCAATACGGAGACTTGTCTATTGTAAATGAAACTGTTGGCACTTATATGGGTAATACAGCATTATTTTTAAGCTAGCCTGATATATAATTATAAAATTGTTATTTTTTATACTAGGTAATAAAAAAGTACCAAGTCAAACCTCAATACAAACAGCGTGTAAGTCGGTTCCAGTACCTGAAGCACCGGTATATAGATTACAGAGACTCATAACGAGTACAAACAATATTGAGTTGAAACAAAAGTAATGTTAAAAGGTTTTAGTGTTGTATTTGTTTTAAAAAATTTATTTTAAAAATTATTTTCATAGATATGTCACAGAATTGGAGGGTTTGTTAAGCCGTCGGAAACTAATGGATAAACAGATCGAGGAATACGTGAATGAATTGCCGGCAATTGACGCCAATATCACATTGAATGGCAAACTAGAGCTCAATAACAGAGACTGTTATAAACAATTGGTTAACACTTTCTATCATAAGTGTTATAATTTATCAAAGGTATGTGAATAATTAATTATAATTTAATTTTTTTAATGTTTAACTATTTATTTGATTTATTTTATGTAATCCCAGAATACATACGGAATCCAAAAATTGCAAACATTTGTGAATATTTGCGAACAAATGCGTGACTCGAGTGATGCGGACATTGCTGTCAACCGATTGATACAATACTGCGATAGAAATGTTATTAACAATGATTTTATTGTTTAATTATTTTTGTGTTACATTTATGTAATAATTTGTATCAATAATAAAAAATTAATTAATTATGAATATCAATTACAATATGATATTATTTTAGGTTGGACGTTTTAAAATTTTTGAGCCTTAATGTTGAAAGAATTCAAAAATTTGTTGATTTCATTTCAAATTATGATAAAAATGAAGGTTTAACAACAACTGATATTATTGGTGAATTTAATAATAGTTTTAATCATGCAATAAAAATTAATCAACAACTTGCATTAACATTTATTAATAAATTATTTGTTAAAAGGTTTATTACAACTGATTATACATTCATGTATGATTATTTGATTAATAAATGTTTTAAATAAACATTTAAAAATAAAACATAAATCATTTAATTGCATTGAGTTAAGTAAAATCTAACTCTGAGATTACAAATAAAAATTTAAACTATATTATAGTATATGATATAGTAAACTAAACTAAACAACTATATTTAAAATAATACTATAACGTTAACTGTGTTTATAAAAGTACAAAAGTAACATGCTCGATTTAAATTAAAAATGCAAATAGTTGTTTAGAATTTAAATCAATATTTAAGGCAAACTTAAAATTATAAAATTTAAAGTCCCGGGTTAAAATACAAATCCTTTTGAACGCCAAACGTTTGAAACTCGTGTTGGTTGTCATCCGTGTCATCCATTTTCCTTACGACCAACAAATCACTTTCCAATTGTCTATTAAAACAATTTATTTTTTAAAACTTTTAAAATAAATGTCAAATGCTTTAACAAATATAACACTTTAATACCTTTTTGATGATCTCGTCCAGGCTCTTATAGCTAGAAAATTGAGCTAGAGCAGAGTCGCACAGATATGACCGTTTGCGGTCAACTAGCGATGAATGAATTTAACAGTTTGATACTATATTTACAACACTAGTATTTTATGAATCAGAAATTAGACATTAATATTAATATTAACTTTTCAATATACTAATTTTATTACTCATAGCAAGATATAACTTGGGATTAAATTATTTGTCAATGTTTTTACTATATTTCCAAACAAAGAGATTA